AAACCAGGAAATAAAAAATACTTCAGTCTGTAATTCCTTAACTTTCAACATCTTCATCTCAACAGGTACCAGGATGGCATTAAGATTATAAATGTGTAACCCGGAGACTGTTAGCTTCTAAAAATGGAACTGGTGCGCAAACATAGCCCTATTAACTATTACGTGGGTAAAAAGGACAGACACTCCATTAGGACTAGCTTCTTAAATATTAGCAGATATTGCTTCTTAACAGTCTCTTTGCTATTAGATTCTGTATAAAGTCTAGTACAGCTATTAACAAGATCTAATTTTCTTCCAGCTTTATTGAAATATAATCAATTAATAGGATTGTATAAATTTAAGGTATACAATGTAGTGATCATACACATGTGATGTGTGTATATACCTGTATGTCTATACATGTTTCAAAACGATTACCATAAGGTTAATTAATACACCCATCACCTCAACTACTTACAATTTTTTATAGTGAGAATAATAAGATCTAATTTTTACTTTTTTTCCCCCTACAAAATATATAGAAAGATCTGTCAAGATAATGGCCACCAAAGTAGATGATGTTGGGATAAGCTAATTCTCTAAATCCTATAGAGTACAGGCATCTGAGATGGCAAATTTTAACACTGGCAAAATGTTGATCCTTCTCCTAAAAAGTACATTTCTTTTTTCTTGCCTTCTTTCCATGTTCTCGTTACCACTACAGGGAAAGGCCCAAGAGGAGAAAATCCATTCCCAGCTTTCCTAACAAAAAAAAAAAAAAAAAAAAAAAAAAAAACAAAAAAAAAAAACTTAACAAAGAAGGTAGGAGTGAAAAGGAGAATAACAGCTCAATGATATTTTTGGCATTGCAATTTTACACTCATCATGGTAGCTCCCTCCTCGACATCACCACTGTGCCCAGCCCACCCCGTGTTTTAATCAGTGGTTCCCTTGCCTCCCACAATTATTCATACAGCCCTGCTGAATAATTTTCTTTCCCCTGCCTGGCATAACAACAAAGTTCAGAAGCAGGAAGGGACGCCACTTACAGGCAGGTCAGACAATGATGTAATTAACAGATCAAGGAGAAGTGTTATTTCAGAAAGCCCCATAGAACAAGAGATGGGCTGATTTCTCGGGTCAAGACACTGCCAGGAAACTACAGTTGCTAAAGCACGAATACCTAAATCAAAATGTTTTCTCCAAATGAATAAAAACATGTGTATATATGTATTATCCCGTCTTGTGAAAGTTTCATACAGAAGTTTTAAATACAAACAAATTTAAAAACCGGTTTGAGAGAGGACTCCTTTCCATCTCACACTAAGCAAGGGGCAGCCTGTCTATTTTTGTATGCCTTTGCCAAATCAAATCCTTTAAAAAAAAAAGAAAAAAATCAATAATGCAGGAAACCAAGTTGACCCACAAGGAACTGAATTCCACATGTTAGGTGTTAGGAATGTCAAAGTGGTTAAAACCAGTCCCCACTTACAAAGAATAAACTAGTGGAGGAAGTTGTCAACAGATAGTTTTATATAATAATACACAGGACAGTTTGTGGGCTTATAGCTTCAGCCACAAGTCCAATAAAGAGCCAAGTGAGAGATGTCTTGCTTGTTCTGTCTTCCCTCAAAGACAAAGAACCAGTTGACTCAAGGCCTGGGACTCAAACTCATGACTGCAGAGGAACTGGCAACCAATGAGACACGGCTTTCAAAGTAAAACTTTAACAGAAGCTACAAGCCACATGATCAGCTGCAGCTTCTGCTATGAATTTGAGAAGTATATTTCCCCTAGGTGGCTGTGTTTTCAGTTCAAGAATGGAGGTCTCATCACATACGAGAAGTTTCTCATTCTGTGTTGCAAAAACGTTGACCACTTCTACTCTCCTGAATGTACAGTCTTCCATGTTTTAATAACTACCGCAGTGTGATGCACTGGGTTTAGAAGTACCCATCAAATGAGCAAAAGCAAATGCCAAAGTTAATAAAAATAGGAACATTGTACAAGACGTCCCAAGTGTATCTAAAGGTGAACAAGCAAATTGAAACTTAAATAATTAAATAAATGAACTTTGGTACTGTTATGCCACTTCAAGTTATGTAAGGCTCAGACGACATAGGAGAAACATTACAAAAAAAAAAAGTCAGGATGGCAAACCTCTAACAGGCTCAGGTAAAGCAACACAAATTAAAAATTGCAACCTGAAACAATGTCATATCCAAGCTTATACCAACTCCTTCAAGACAGAGGCCACATCTTATCCTTCTCTTTATCTTCAGCATCTAGAGCACATCTGGCAGTCAGTAGTCACTGGATCCTGCAGAGGATACCTTTTTTTTTTTTTTAAGATTTTATTTATTTATTTACTCATGAGAGACACAGAGAGAGAGAGAGGTAGAGACATAGGCAGAGGGGGAAGCAGGCTCTCTGTAGGGAGCTCGATGCCAGACTCGATCCCAGGACCCTGGGATCACGCCCTAAGCTGAAGGTAGATGCTCAACTGCTGAGCCACCCAGGTGTCCCAGTGGAGAACTTCTTTATATGTACATGGAGGAGAGAGAATATGCAAGGCCTGGCTCTCATGTGTATTCACTTCCAACAAATGCCAAGGTGAAAGCTATTGGTAATGTGCTAGAGCTAAGGAGCTTCTATAAACTCAGGTAGGGCATTCTTGCCAAATCAGATCTCAGGATTCCGGAGCAAGGGCTGCAGATCCCTATTTCCCAAAACTCACCGTGGAAAGCATGATTTGTGTGGCATCTTGGCTCCTTGCCCGTATCCAAAACAATCAGTTGCACAAAGTAGGTTTAGTCAAAACTGTTTGGACTTCGACCCTCTACCAACATCTGGGTTCAGCATGATTCCTGACCTCTACCTCAAACTAGTGATTTCAAACACTAAGAATCTCACTCAACAAGAAAGTAACGTTGTAAGTCAAGGCCAGGGCAAACACGGAAGCCAGAATTAGCAAAAACACTACAAAGATAGGATTCTGAAGTCCTCAGAAATGTTTCTGAACACCCAAAATATTAAAGTTGCTTCTCAGAAACAAAAAATATAAATATACTTTCTCAAATTAAAGTACTATTGCTGAAGAGAAAGATAGTTTTGGGGAAGCTAAATGGTTATTACATAGATAAAATAAGCTTTTTTTTTTTCTTTGTAGATAGAGCATAACTTTTCACTCTGTTGTCAAGCTTGCGTCATAAAACCTAGTTCATAATCTGGGAGACCCAAAAACTTAATTATTTGGAAAAAAAAAAAAAGACATGTCTTAAACTGACCTAGTTTGAAAGCCTGGATGCCTTTAAATTGCCAATGAACTGAAGCCATTCATGAGAATGGAGCTTTTGAATGCTGAGAATGTTCTCTGGGGCTCAGTGCAAAGATATTTGGCATAGATGACTGTAAATATTTGTAAAACTCTGGGTAAATGGACAGTGCTTGACCACACTCACACCTCACTTCCAGCACAGTAGTGCAGGATAAAGTTATCTAGGGTGATTGCTTCAGGGTTTTTTTTTTTTTTGGGGGGGGGGTTGGTTATGTTTTCTTCTGTTTTAAATAAAATGTCAAGCTGCCTAATTCTGCTACTTGACATCCCTTTTATTCTTACATTCTCTATACACGTTTACCTTGTATTTGTTTACTCATCAAGTTTCAATTTGTCAGAGAAAACTTGAGAAGCAGAAGAGTTTTTTCTCTTTCCTATTTTTCCAAGTGTGTGTCCTCCACAAAGAAAAAGAGATGAGTCACAGGTGCGCACAGGTAAAACTGGAGGTGTGTGAAAACGCGGCCTTGGACTGAATACAATTATCTCAAAGCGGCTCAAGGGTCCGCTACATAGATCTTTCTCGCCCCCTCCACCTCCTCTTCAAGATGGTTTCAGAAATACTTGAGGGGCTGCTACTTAGGAACAGAACTAAGTTCTGTTCATAAGGGAAGGGAGGGCAGAGTCAGGAGAAGGAGGGATCCACAGAGCAATGGGATGTGAAAGGGACCAGGGACCATCTCAGCGCAAACTACAGCAGCCAGATCCTTCAGTAAGACTGGCTGGATTCCTTTTTGCCTCTTACCCACACCCTGAAAACTGAGTCATCTCAAAGTTCATTTATGTTGTTTCTGGGCCTAGACCCCCCCTTCTCCCCCCCCCCCATCTGCTGCTTCCGAAATGCTAAGATACATTGTTCTTTAATTGAGACCTTGCAGTGTTCAAATTAACATCCAGAAATGCCGCATTACGAGAGCGCAGTCCTACAGGGACCTACAGGGACCTACAGGGACCTACAGGGACCCCCAGCTAACGTTTGGTCAACATCGGTGCAGCAGCAAGAAACAAAGTGGCACACGACAGCGGAAGCAAGAACGAGGGCATTTCTCCAGAACAGGAGAATTCATTCATTCCTGAGAAGTCTGAGCGTGGGAAGTAGGGGCAGGCATCAGGGGCAGACGCACAGCGGCATTCCCGAAACTCCTAAACCGGAGCAAAAGGTGCTTGGGGAGCCCTCAGCTCAAGGGACCCGGTCTCTGCGGACGCGGGGATCGCTTTCGTTTCAACTTAAAACTTGAGAACAGCAACAGAGGATCAGAGTCCCGCTCTGCCTTATCAGCAATTCCGTGACAAAATCGTCAGGATAACCAAGATCCCATCGTCCTCCCGTCCCTGCAGGTCGACGCCCAGGGCCCCAGGGCCGCGCGCTTCAGCGTCCGCGGGGATGCCGACCCGGGGTCTGGTCTCCCCCTGAGAAAGGCGGGGGGGGGGGGGTGAGCTAATCTCGAATTTGCCCATCGATACATCCCGTGGAGGCCGTCTGATCAATGATCACTTTCTCTTTACCTTTCCAGGGGCGTCCGCAGGTAAAAGTTAACAGGTGTCGGACGCGTGCAGCTTGGGCGCCGCAGCCGCGAAGGGGAGCTCCGCACCAGGGAGTCCGAGACTCTTGTCCCTTTTTTTTTTTTTTTTTTTCTCTCCCTTTTCCCAGGCCAGCACCCCGCCGGCCCGGCCACGCCGAACCTACCTGCCGGGAGAGCCGCGGTCCTCCGGGCGCCGCGAGCAGGCTGCGCGCCCCCGGGAGGCCCGGGCTCGGCGCTCGGCGCTCCGCAGGGCTGCGGCCGGGCGGGCGGGAGGGGAGGGGAGGGGAGGGGCGGGGGGAGGGAGGGAGGGGAGGAGGGCGGGAGCCGCGCCGGAGGAGGAGGAGGAGAAGGAGGAGGAGGAGGAGGAGCGGGAGCGGGAGCGGGAGCGGGGCCGACAGCCGCCCGCCGCCCCGAGCGCCGCGGAGCGTGGGGCGCAGCTCGCCAGCCGCGGGCAGCAGGAGCGCTGCGAGCCGCGCGCTCATTTATACAGGAAGCGCAGGCGCCGCACTTCCTACTTCCCATCTGGGTCGCACTTGGAGAGCAGGTGAGGGGCCCTTGACCCCCGCCCCGCCCCGCCCCGCCCCGCCCGCAGGCTGGACCCCTGCGCTCGCTGCGCCGCTCGCGGCCCCTCGCCCTCCCCTCCCCCTCCCCTCCCCCTCCTCTCCCCCTCCTCCTCTCTCCCCCTCCTCTTCTTCTATCTCTCCCTCTCCCCCCTCCTCCTCTTCCTCCTCTCTCTCTCCCTCTCCCCTCCCTCTCCTGCTCCTCCTCTCTCCCTCTCTTTCTTTCTCCTCTCCTCTTCCCACTCCCTCTCTCCTCTCTCCCTCTCCTTCTTTCTCTCTCCTCTCTCCTCTCCTTCACCCTCCTCCTCCTTCTCCCCCTCCCTCTCCTGCTTCTCCTCCTCTCTCCCTCTCCTCCTTTCTCCCTCTCCTCTCCTCTTCCCACTCCCTCTCTCCTCTCTCTCCTCCTGCTCCCCCTCCTCTCTCTCTCCCTCCCCTCTCCTCCTTCTCGGTCTCTCTCTCTCTACCCCCACCCCCCCCTGGGACTACCGCTGCAGAAATCCGGGGCAGGGTGCCTGGCTGGCAGCCCTTCAATGCCCTTCACCCCACCCAGACCAGGACATTTCACCTCTTGGCCTTGCAAGCTTGTGGCTCATCTGCCCTTGTTCCTGCTAGGACTCCTTCCCTCTCTCCCTCCTTCCCGGCTCTTCGAAAATCTCTCTTTTACTTGGGATCCCCAACCTGCCTTCCCACCCTGGCAGCACACTGTTTTTATAGAAACATTTCCCAGGCACACATCTCATCGGAAACACCCTGTCCCTGATTTGTCCTTTTGCGTCTCCTGATTAAATGAGAACACAGGCAATTCAGAGCAGGACGGTCTTGGTCTTCCCTTACCTCCTAAAATAAAGGCACACCTTGATGACACAGTGATTTTGCTTGAAGTGCTTTAGCAACAGATTGGATGTGGGAACCCATTGTGACCTGGCAGGCAGGTTGGATCTGGTTGAAGAGAAGGTAACACAACAATCCAGAAGCTGTAGGGTATGCTATGATGTGCCCTCCTCACCACAAAATCTCTGACACTTGTGTGTTTAAAACATGATATACCTACTCACTCCCCACACCTGCCACCACCCCTCCTCCCCTCCCCATGTCACAATCACAGTCCCTAATCTGTTGAACCCTTGCAATTTATAAATGTCCCTGCTGTGATACAGGAATCTTTCTGTACCTGCTGGGCAACCTCACTCTACTTTTGCAAAGGCAGCCAGGAGTGTGCTTCCTAAAAAGGAATGGGCCCACCTGTCTGTTGTGGAAGGGATCTGAGCGTGCCAGTGAAGCAGGGGCAGTGGGTACCACTCCAGACAACATAAGGAAACTGCTTCTCAGCCCTCCCTGTTCAAGAAAACCTACAGGTCAAAGCCATGTGCTTGAAGAAAACAACGTACCTACATGATGGTAGGACAGGCCCAGACCAGTCCATTACTGGGGGAGGAAGAGAAGGCAGGCAAGGAAAATAAGACAGAGAGCACACAGTAGGGAGGGACCCAAAGCAATAGTATCAGAGGACATTTGAGGCTGAAAAGTTGTTCTGGCAAGTTTAGTCGAAATGCCTAATTTTAAAGACAAGGAACCTGATGGCCAGGGAGTTTGAAGCGGTTGGCCGGAACCAGAGAGGGGCAGAGCTGGAATGAGACCTGAATTGTATTAGGTGAAAAGGTACACGTTAATGACCACCCCACGGAGTCTAGCTCCAAAATTAGCGGTAGTTAGGCGCTAAGATAATCAACTTTCAGGTGCCTGAGGGACTCAGTTAAGCATCTGCCTTCAGCTCAGGACACAATCCTGGGATCCTGGGATCAAGCCCCACTTCGGGCTCCCTGCTCAGTGAGGAATCTGCTTTTCCCTCTGCCTCTTCCCCTACTCATTCTCTTTCTCAAATAAACTCTTTTAAAAAACAAATAAAAATAAATAAGATAATCAACCTCAAGGTATTTTCTTACTGTAGTGGCCACTGTCGATGGAGAGGCATTAGGAAAGATAAAGCCCCTTCTAAAAGGTTAGTTTATTCATTAGTTCAATGCAAAACTTTGGCACTGTAGACCAAAGTTCAACACAGAATCCACTTTCTAAATTATCATGCAATTAAGTCATAATCTTTTGTCAACAGGATAAGGGAAGAAGCTGCTCCCCTGAAAACATATGTTAAGCAATGATCATGCCGCCTGCTGTTGCAAATGGCAGAAAGAAAGGGGGAAAACTGGGTAACTAAATAACATCAGCATGGTTTATTTTCACTATGTAAGTTAATAAAAAGTACATTAAAATGTTAACAGGATTAACTAAACACATAGAACGCTATAGTAGTATGTGAACAACTCTTTCAGATCTGGAATAAAATAACTAGGAATGAGGGGCTCAATCCCAGGACCCCGGGAATCATGACCTGAGCCGAAGGCAGACACTTAACCAACGGAGCCACGCAGGTGCCCCTCAATCATTTATTGATCTCTTCCCAGACAAGCTGTTAGATGCTAGAAAGACAAAGATAAATTGGATCTGGTTCCTGTCCTGAAAGAGCTCTCAGTCCAGGGAAGGAGTCAGACAAGAAAATCCAGGAGTAGCGTACTGTGGTGAGTGAAATGATAAACATGATGGTCTATGGGAGTACACAGAAGAGCTGTGGAAAGGGGTTGGTGAAAACAATCAAGAAAGGCTTCCCTGAGAAAGTGATTCAAAGCTGAGTCTTCAAGCAGCCACGTGGGGAAGGTGGAGAGAGGTGAGCCAGCTGCAACAGCCAGTGTAAGCACCTAGGTAGTCCTTGTCCTAAGTCAGAGCACATGCATTCAGAATCAAAGAATGAGGGCCTGAGCCAATATAGTGACCATTGGCCTAGAAAGGAAGGGGATGAGTGGAGAGATGTTTGAGAAACAGAAGTGAGAGGAGGGACCTGGTATCCAATTTGATGTGGAGGCTGGGGGAGAGAAGAGCCCAGGCTGCTGGTGCCAAGAAATGAGAGTGCAAACAGAGGAGGAGCAGTCATACAGAAAATGATGATTCCATCTGAATCCTTCAGAATCTGAGGTGCCTCTGGGACATACTGGAAGGCTTGTCTCATAGGCAATCAACAGAAGGTGGAGAGTCTTTTAGTAATCAGCAACCTTGAAGTAGTGGTCACAGATGAGCTCACCAAGAGCTGAGATCACCCACAAAAGGTAGCACACTGTAGAGAGAAGCAACGGCTTTGGACCCATACAAACTTTATTGCCCACTCATTACTGTGTAAGCTTGAACAAGTTTTAACATACCCAAAACTCAGTTTTCTCATCTATGAAATAGGAATGATGATATTCATCGCATAGGCTGTTGTGAGGGTCAACAAGGGGTTTGTAAAGTATCGAGCACAGTACCTGATGACACTACACAAGTCTTTAGGGTGGGCCAGTGAACATCACCTCCTGAAATTGTGTAGCACACAACCTGCTCAGCTGTACAGCACGGCCCTGTCCTGAGATGCAGTAAGAATTCGGTCCATGTTATTCATCTAAGGAAAGGAAATGAGAAGCGAAAAGAAAGGAATCGGAAAAAAGAATCCAGGGGCACCTGAGTGACTCAGTCAGTTAAGCATCTGAGTCTTGATCTCAGCACAGGTCTTGATCTTGGGGTGGTGAGTTCAAGCCCTGGGTTGGACTCCACGCTGGGCATGGAGCCTACTTAGAGAAAAAGAAAGGAAGGAAGGGAGGGAGGAAGGCAGGCAAGCAAAGAGAACGCAAAGGAACCCCAGTATTTAAAGGGTAGGTGAAAGAGAAGCCCCCAAATATGCCTAAGAAGGAACTGCTTCTTTTAGGCTGCCAAAATGAATGTAACATTTGATATCTCAGACTGAGAAGTAAAATCCAGCCACTATCATCTAGAACAGTATTTTGTCTGAGCAATAACAGACATGATATTACAAACTATCCACCTGAGACTGCCGTCATGTGGATATTCATCATAGAGAGTCATCTCCCAATCTGAATTACAGACCTCCCTAAAGAAAAGGCAAACAAAATCTTCACATTAACAGTAAGTAATCCAAACTGTAACAGGAATTCCATTACCTTGCGATATACCAAAAATCATAAAAAAGCAAACCCAAAGTAAATCCAAAGCTTGCTCAGAGTTTTCCCTACATAAGGAGGCTAAAACAAATATAGAATAGAATTACTAGCTTTCTCAATATGTATAAGATGCTCCATAATAATATATAACTACCACATGTAGTATCTAATAGGTGTGTGTTATAAAATGCACTGAGGTCCTACATAAGAAGTGAATCAAGTGGAGTTTCTTCTTGTTAACATGCTCTCTTTAATATAAAGAAAAATCAAGATGCATTCTTATGCAGTTGAAATTACTCTTCTAATATACCTGAGTCGGTAAATTAGTAACACATACCTTAGATGTGACATCTTAATTACATCCTGCACTAAAACCTAAATTAAAGAAAAAGATTTGCTCAGTTTCAAAAACCAGACAAAAGAACACAAGTATTGGGAAACGAGCTTCTGCAATAAAGTGCAATTCTGTCCACAGGAAAAGATGTAAGGCAAAGGTCACCAGCTCTGCCAATGCCAATTTGGTCATTTCTGCTTTTCAAACAGCTATAACTCCATTTGCATTTTTCTGGTGCATCTAATGGTGCTCATTTATACATTCAGTCAACATTTATTGAGCGTATTAAGCATAAAACTAAGAGTAAGACACAATATAGGGCACCTGGGTGGCTCAGTGGTTGAGCGTCTGCCTTAGGCTCAGGTCA